GGCACTAATTTGCGCAATCTGAAAAGTATTTAAGTAATACAATACATACTTAATATATTTAAACAAAAGTTGAAGTACATACCAACGGGCTTTTATTAAAATCTGTGTGTTATCCAAATTAAATTATTGTGTGCTCCTTATGCTTCTATAAGAAATATTTTCTGTTGTTTTTTTTTGTATGATAAATTTTTTCGAAAACACAAATTTCTTTTGGGCGAGGTGCGTATTGCTCTCCTATCAATCAAAAAGAGTACTCTTGGATTTATCGCTTAGGAGACATCACTTTTTGCTCCTAAGCGAGTAATAACGGAGTACAAAACCGAAAAGTCTCGCTTATTGCTCCCAAATCATGCCTCAGGGAGCATTCTTTAATTGCTCGCTTAGGAGATCTCTCATTAAGCTCCTAAGCGAGCAATACAGGAGTACAAAACCGAGAAATCTCGTTTATTGCTCCCAAATCATGCCTCAGGGAGCATTATTTCGTCGCTCGCTTAGGAGATCTCTTATTTGACTCCTAAACGAGTAATAAAGGAGTACAAAACCGACAAATCTCTCTTATTGCTCAGAAATCAGGTTAAGGGGAGTACTCTTTTATTCCTCACATAGGGAGATCTCCCTTCAAGTTCTAGTGGGAAACTACGGTAAACTGATGATTTCCTATAAAGATATACAGATGAATACATAGGGGAAAATCACAACATGTGCATTAGAGTGGTTCAAAAAAAATAAAGTCGGAATTTTAATGCCGCGACCCCTAGGATTGTACTCTACCGAAAAAAATTTACCCCTATTTTTTTATTTTGATATCAAAAAAATATTTAGGGAGTGCTCAAAGAGCTCAAAGTTGTCCATGTATTTTATATGGGGAAAAAATAACTTTTCGTAGAAATGGTATAAAATGCTTGAAAATCAATACTTTTCGATCGGAAAACTGTGGTTCTCTTCAGGAGACTCAGCTGTTTATTTAACCATTTTTTAATATTAAAGATTTGGTATGTATTGGTCCCCATTGCATTTTCTGGGGGTGTTGGCGGACCCATAAATTATAGTTACCATGAAAAAATGGTTAAAGAAACAAGCTATGTATCTGCGTAATTACTTTTTCAGAATTCGCCAACCCGTTTTTACTACTTTTGACCGCTGTAGTCCCATTGTGTGCCGTAAGTGTCGTATTTTCGTATGTCGTAAAGTTTTGAACGGTTAAACAAATGTTTGGAGGACATGAAACCTCAACCAACTATTATTTAACGGTGTGAAATTTCATAATACGAATTCGAAGGTCGCTTGAGAATCCCTTATATATAGTTTTAGCCGTTTAAAGTTTATGACATAAAACAATACGAAAGTATACCTCACCTTGTGAACTCCCAATTGTCTTTGTCCATTTAACTGCATGTCTTTCAAATAACTTGAATGTGGATTTTATTTTGGGACCCATGGGCATCATGACTTTCAGAGAAGTGAGTATTATCCACTTCTGGTATATTTTGATAATATCGTTTTTTCTTTGGGCAAAATTAAAATATATTTTACTGTTCAATATTGGAAGGGGTGTGACACAAAATTGATGATTCCACCCACTAGAAAGAGAACAGTCCAAACGTTAAGAGAAGTCGCCCTTCCCCTCTATGACCCCTAGGGACAGTGGGTCCTATGGGTAAAATTACAATTTTGCCAGAAAATGCAAACTCGGGTTACGCCAACCACAGGATCTATGCGCAGAAGAATACCTTTCCGCGTTGGAGGCCTTCGGCTGCGCTTAGAACAAATAACCCTCATCTGTCCAACTTCGGCTACCACAGTATTTGTTACAAAAAAGTGAGTTCAAAAATTTTTAATCTTTATTTATACCAAATTTTAATCCTTTGATCACAGGTGTGTGTTTTTTATTCGGGTTTCGCGTGTGGACACAATAACCCAAAATCATTGTACAAATAACCGAACGATGCCCAACAAAAGATCGTTTACTTGTTAAAATTTCGATTCTAAGAACAAAATGTTTTAAATAAACAAAAAATTAATAATAAAGTTTGAAGGATTTTATATGTTGGATATGGTAGCTCGAAATGTCACAATCTGCTTAATTGTCAGGTTGTTAATGTGGCGACAAAAGAGTGACAATGCAACTACCTTCTTTTTTTATAATGGTTTGATACTATAAAATTTTAGAATAAACCTGCCTTTTTCGAAAAACTACCCTACCTTGGACCACCCTGGTGTATACATTAGGGACACTCTCCATACAAAAGAACAAATCGGAACTGTTTTTCCATCGGAGTTATAAAACTTAAAAATATTTCCGAAAGATGTTAAGATTTACGTCCGACAAATTTGAAAATATGTAGTTTTTTATACCCGAGCACACTTGTGCATAAGGGTATTATAACTTTGTTCACATAACGGTTGATTGTAATACACAAAACGAATCGTGATAGGTATACACCAGTGATTCCCAAAGTGGTCCACGGGAGACTCGGTGGGAGTCTGCGTTGGCGTGAAAAAATATAGGGGTCCACGAGATGTAAGTGGGGGTCCACGAAAATTTATCTGGTTTCGATAGTAAAGAACGGAAATGGATGTTTTATAGCCTCTTTAATAAACTTTTTTTTTTAGTGGTGTAGGTGCTCTTGACACACTGCTGCAATTACCGTCACTTTGTGTCGTCATAGGTGGGGAAACCTTAAAGGCCACCTGCAGACTAAAAAGGAAAGGGATGTTGGTATTACACTGAGTGGGCTAGGCGAAAATTACTCGAGAGATTTGACCACCACCATTTCCTTTGTTGAATAGACTCTATATTGTTGAGTTACCTGAAGCTGAATGCTGGTTTATTTCCGGCACTGAGCTCTTAACTCTGGTCAGGATCTGGGGTCTTTTTCGAAGTTACTAGGGATAAGCTTCACTTTTCTCTTGGGGAATATTCCTCGGTTTTCCAGGCTGAGCTAATTGCAATCCTCAAAGCCATGGACTACATGTCTGCAGAGACATCCAAGCCCAGCTTCAAGACATTGGCCAGCCCTCTACCTAAATACTTCCAAACTAGTTCGGCAATGCAAGTCTCGACTAAATTATGTTGGTAAACATAACGAGCTTGCTTTACTCTTGGTGCCAGGTCACTCCGGAGTACTTGGTAATGAGACATCTGACCATTTGGCCAGTTGGCTTAGACCAGACATTTCTCGATCCGCAACCAGTTATAACACTCCCCACTTTGTTCATCGAAACCACGATCAGAAACTGGGTGAATACTTCGCTCAGCAATGCAGGGCTGGAAAAATTCTCACTGAGCTAACGAGACTTCAGACAACTTATTGGTTTGCTGACTGGTCACTGCACGTGACAGGCCTGACTGTGATAGGCGTAAAAGACAACTCCATTTACCAATTCTGCCTTGCAGAGGATGGGACACTTTTTGTGCTTCTTGCCAGCAAGAAATAATGCCATCCACACAAGTAAGCTATTTACAAATATGCCACATGTAAATTTATGAAGAAGTTCATGGAGAAGAAAATGTAAATAATGCTAGCGCTCAGAGTGCTCTTAAAAAGTTTAACTTTTCAGAGCGAGAGATGACTTTGATGGCTTTACGAGCCCTATTTTTTAAAACTTGCAAGTGTGTAATCACATGTTTTAATAAACAGACCACGAAGAAAAATATTTAGTTTTTATTTTTGCCGCTCCGAATAGTGGTTTGGAACTCAACCGCGATGCAAATTTACATTGTTAGATCTAATTTTCACATTTTTTGGAGATTTGGGAATATATTAGAAATGTAGTAGCAGGGGGACCACCGAAACCAGTAAAGTTTTGAAAAGGGTGCGCGAGAAAAAAAGTTTGGGAACCTCTGATATGGACAAACGCATACTTAAATGTTCAGAATGAAATTAATTAGACCGTGATTGTCTGTCCGCACGTCCGTCAGCTTGTGCACGCGATAACTCGACTAAAAGTTGCAATGGATGGATGGTATTGAAAATCAAAACAAAATCGGACAATAACCACGCCTAACTCCTATGTAACGGTAGTCTTCAGAAGTACAAAAACTGTGATATTTTAGTAACTGAAGCTTATTCACTCGAAATTGATATTTGCAATTATCTTTGGGCAGAAAATCAGAATATTATTAATTAAAAAAAAAAAATGTGCACAGCTGTTGGGCTTGGTAAAAAATCGGACTGTGATCCCTGCTTAACTGAACACACTATCGAAAATGTTTGAAATAGGGGTAAAACCACTGCTGTTTTCGGCAAGTTGAAAAAGTATATTTATTTAATACGTGCGCCGAGTATTTAATATTTGGCTCGCCCGAACTTAGACTTTTTTACCTGTTTATATATAAAAAATATTAATTTTTGAAAATTTAATTTCCAAAAAATCTCGTGAGGTGATAGAAGAGCAAAAAAATAATTTAAATTATAAAATCGGTCCAGCTCATGTAAATCTTAATTTTTCCGAAATATTTTGCCAGAAGTCTGAAACTATAATAATTTATATAATTCCGGTGGAAGCACGGCAACGTTTTTGGTGAACAACCCTAATACATATACATATATTTATATATTTTCTTAATCCTTTACAACCAATTCATTTTTAATCAGAAGAAATTCGTTGTTGGTTCATTTTGAACGGACGTGAAATAGCGGATGTGACCGATTTTTTCCGCATACAATATTTTTACTAGTAATACATATGTATATAATTTAATTTTCTATTCAATTTTCTCAGTTATTCTCTTCATCGCGTCGCGTTGTCACAATCTATTTTCGCCATCTAAATACAAAGTTTAAAGTTATAAAGCAGTTTGAGTTCATTTTCGGTTTACATTTTTATGGAAACGCCCAAATGTTAAGTCCTGTGAAATTTCACAACGATTAAAATAAATCATGTTTTCACTAATTCTGTGGAGATCATGAGAAATTTGTCTATTGAAAGCACGGACAAAATTTGAAATTTTGCTTTCTTATAAATAAGATAAGTTAATTACTACACACTCTTATTTGTCCTTGAAATATTTGCTTTGTTTTTTTATTTATTTTGTATTTATTCCGTAAATAATTTATTATATGGCGTTTTAGAGAAAACTGCATCGACAACATTTCCCATCAATCGAGATATTTCTTTCGAAAATGTTGCTTCAACTTCCTGATAGATTTCTTTCCAATTTTCATTTAAAAACAAATTCATATTATCACCCAGCGCTTTGTCGCCGTTGAAAAGATTTTGGAAATCGAAAATCACTTTATTGGGCTTAACGATTGCCCTAAATTTGTCCGTTTTCATATAGGTTGCTCCATCCTTTTCCACGGGCACACCCACCCACTGGAGTACGAAATCCGCATTCACTGAAATAATAGAAGAATTCATGCACAAGCAGAGATTAGTAAATCTAAATTTTAATTGAACACAAATAAACTAATTTCTACTTACACATGGTAATATTATTTTTGCCCGAACCACTTATTGGTAAAATTAAAACGCGTCCTTGAATCTTGTAGTCACCGATCAAGCTAGCTACGGGCACTTTGAAACGCAGCTCATGTTTCTTGGCTAAATCTTTGCCAAAGCCTCTGGAGAGATAAAAAGAAAAAAATACGTACATAAATATGTATATTAGGGCGGATCAAATTGTATGGGAGATTTCCTCGACTATGTGCGTTTGGCATAGGATGAGCCTACGTGTAATTCTAAGCAAATTTGCCGAAGAAACCATGGGTCTAAATCCAATTTGGATTTTGCGAAATTGCGAAAATAGGTTTCTTAGCATTTTGCTGTAGTGTCGTAAAAAAGTGTTTAAAGTTTGTATAAAAACATGCTATAAGAGATATTTTGGTATGAGGAATCCATTTTTTGCATATTTTTCTTAAAACTTCCACCATAGGGCGCAACAGTGAATATTTTAATCGAACCTATTTTCGCAATTTGGCAAAGTCAAAATTTTTCGGAAAATTTGCTTAGAATTGCACGTAGAACTCTCCTATGCTATACGCGCATAGTGTATATAAATGTTTAAGTTTTGTAGTGCTATGTAAATATGTTTTATAGATAAATGTAAACTTAATTTGTTCTAAATTCCTTACCTAACTTTGTATGCCTGAGCATGGGCAACGCCGGTGATTTTGTTTTTGATAAATGTTAAGTCAATATTCACAGGATTGTCCGCTCCTTGCTTGAGTGTAAATGTGCCAGCATCGAGTGGATCAATTTTAAGCAAATTAATTGCTGAGTCACCTTTTTAAATAATGCCAAAAGTTGAGTATGTAGTACATTAGGGTGGACGAAATTTTCTTCTAGTCAACCCCCAGAACTGAACTAAGTCGAAAATAAGGAGACTCGTATTTTTTATTGTATTTATCATACAAATTAAAGCGTTAAAAACAACTATTTTTTAAACGATTAACGTTGATTTCGTTACTTTTTGTGCTCAATTCTAAAATAAAGGCAAACGGTGAGAAAATTCTATATTCATTTCTTAAAATAACACATTCTTTTAAGGCAAAAAAGGCACATTGTCCGCCCTTCGAAGCTTTGACAGGGTCGAGTGAAACATCAAACACATTTTGCACCGGGGAATGAGATTTATTATTTGCTTAGAAAATAAAACTTAATGTGTGTGTGTATTTTTTTGTCGTGCGAATGCTAAAGATACAATAAATATAAAGATAAAAATTAAGGGAATGATGATGGTTGTAATGGAAATGGTAATGGTAAAGGCAATGGCATGGTTAATGATAATAGCTGTGCTAATGGTAATGACATGGGTAATGGTTATTTTAATGGTAATGGTAATGCTAATAGTAATGTTAATGATAATGGTATTGGTAATCTTCTTCTTTTTTGGCGCTTTAACCGCCTAAGCGATTTTGGCCGAGTTCAGCAAAGCACGCCAGTCGTTTCTCCTCTGTGCCAACTGACGCCAATTGGAAACGCCAAGTCCTTCTCCACCTGATCTTTCCATCGCAGTGGGGGCCTCCCTCTTCCTCTGCTACCACCAGCGGGTTCCGAGTTGAATACTTTCAGAGGTGGAGCGTCGGTGTCCATTCGAACGACATGACCAAGCCAGCGGAGCCGCTGTATTTTAATTCGCTGCACTATGTCCATATCGTTGTAAAGCTCATACAGCTCATCGTTCCATCGTCTGCGGTACTCGCCGTCGCCAACGCGTAAAGGACCGTAAATCTTCCGCAAAATCTTTCTCTCAAACACCCCAAGAGCCGCCTCATCGGATGTTGTCATTGTCCATGCTTCTGCGCCATATACCAGCACGGGCATGATGAGTGACTTATAGAGCGTGGTTTTCGTACGTCGAGAGAGGACTTTACTCCTGAATTGCCTACTCAGTCCAAAGTAGCACTTGTTGGCAAGAGTGATTCTACGTTGGATTTCAATGCTGACATTATTATCGGTGTTAATGCTGGTTCCCAAGTAAACGAAATTCTCTACTTTCTCGAAATTGTAACTGTCAACAGTGACGTGGGTGCCAAGGCGCGAATGTGCTGACTGTTTGTTTGATGACAGGAGATACTTCGTCTTGTCCTCGTTTACCACCAGACCCATGCGCTTTGCTTCCCTATCCAACTTGGAAAAGGCAGAAATATAGGTGGTGAGTGTCGATCCTTTTCTCGCGGGTCTTTTCCAAGATTTGGCGTATTGTGAATACCTGGTCTATGGTGGATTTGCCAGGTCTAAAGCCACACTGATAAGGCCCAATCACTTCATTGACGGTGGGCTTTAGTCTTTCATACAATACGCTCGATAAGACCTTGTAACCTATGCTTAGAAGGCTGATTACGCGGTAGTTGGCGCGAATGGCGGGGTCACCTTTCTTGTGGATTGGGCAGAGCACACTTAAATTCCAGTCGTCGGGCATGCGTTCATCTGACCATATTCTGCACAAGAGTTGATGCATGCACCTTATCAACTCCTCGCCGCCGTACTTGAATAGCTCAGCTGGCAGGCTGTCAGCTCCAGCGGCTTTGTTGTTTTTCAGCCGCGTTATTGCTATACGTACCTCGTCATAGTCAGGCGGTGGAACGTCGACTCCGTCATCATCGACTGCGGGCTCGGGTTCTCCTTTCCACACCTTTCCGTGCTGCTACCATTTAGTAGGGCGGAGAAGTGTTCCCTCCATAATTTAAGTACGCTCTGGACATCAGTTACTAGGTCGCCATTATTATTCTTACACGAGTGCGCCCCGGTCTTTAAACCTTCCGTAAGTCGCCTAACTCTCTGGTAAAATTTTCAGGCATTCCTCCTGTCGGCCAGCATTTCAAGCTTTTCGCACTCACGTATTTCTGCCTCTCTCTTCTTGTTGCGGCAAATACGTCTCGCTTCCCTCTTCAGATCCCTATAGCGGTCCCACATAGCGCGCGTTGCGCCCGATCGCAGCGTGGCCCTGTAGGCGGCATCTTTTTTCTCTGCAGCTTCCTGACACTCCTCATCGTACCAGTTGTTCTAACGGGCTCGCTGAAATCCGACTACTTCTTCGACGGCGGTACTTAATGAGCGGGAAATGTGGTTCCACTGCTCGCATATGTCGGTTTGTTGAAGAGTGCTCTCTGAGAGCAGGTGTGAGAGTCGAGTAGCGAAAGCGCTGGCTGTCTGTTGTGATTGCAGCTTTTCGACGTTAAGCTTTCCTTGCATATTTGGGCGCAGATTTTTTGCTGCACAGAGGCGGGTGCGTATCTTGGCGGCAACAAGATAGTGGTCCGAGTCGATGTTTGGGCCTCGGAGTGTGCGTACGTCTAAAACACTGGAAGCGTGCCTTCCGTCTATCACAACATGATCGATTTGGTTTCTCGTTTTTTCGATCCGGAGACAGCCAGGTAGCTTGATGGATCTTTTTATGCTTGAACCTAGTACTGCATTCTACCATGTTTCGGGCCCCGGTGAAGTCGATCAGCCTCAATCCGTTGTCGGACGTTTCGTCGTGGAGGCTGAATTTTCCGACGGTGGTTCCAGAGATCCCTTCTTTGCCCACACTGGGATTGAAGTCGCCAAGCACAATTTTGATATCATCACGGGGGCAGCGCTCGTACGTGCGCTCCAAGCGCTCATAGAAGAGATCCTTGGATGCCTCATCCTTCTCTTCCGTCGGGGCATGGGCGCAGATGAGCGAGATGTTGAAGAATCTCGCTTTGATGCGGATTGTGGCTAGACGCTCGTCCACCGGGGTGAACGACAGTACTCGGCGACGGAGTCTCTCTCCCACCACAAATCCAACTCCGAATTTGCGCTCCTTTACATGGCAGCTGTAGTAGACGTCGCAAGGCCCCAGACATTGTTTGCCTTGCCCCGTCCAACGCATTTCTCGGATGGCGATGATGTCAGCTTTTGTCCTTACGAGGACATCCACCAGCCGGGCAGAGGCACCTTCCCCATTAAGGGTCCGGATATTCCAGGTGCATGCCCTCAAATCGTAGTCCTTTAAACGTTTGCCGTGGTCGTCATCATAAGGGGGGGTATCATCCGAGGCTTTGCCTGGCTTCTTCACTGGAAGTGGTTTTTACGTGGCGGGTCCCAAGCCCAGCGCACAACCCATTGCTGGGACGGGGGTGGTTTCGCAACCAAATACACGTTTATATAGCGAGCCGCTTGCTCCAAGCAGACACCCGCTTGCAGCCGCACCTACTGGTGAACAGACGCTGCAGACTTCAGTGAGCCCTTAAACCGAATAAGTCAGAGTGGCCCCACCGAAGCTCCCTCTCTTTCTGCCGTGACCCAAGGCTCCACTCGGATTGGTTACCGCATCTCGCACATGGGTTGCTCACGTTGCCCAGAGTGCGCGAACGAGGACGCAAGAGTCGGGATTGAGTATAGCCATGCAACTATAACTGCATACCCAGCGCAATGACTATACCCCATTGCACTCCCGTATTGGTAATGGTATTGATATAAGTAACGACAACGGTAAAGGTTATGACAATGGAAATGGTAATGGTAAACTTTTTGGTAATGGTAATATGTTTGGTAATGTTATTGGTAATGCAAAAGTAAATGATAATGATGATGGTAATCGTGATTGTAATTGTAATAACAGTCGCCATTCGTATTGGTCTACGTGTTCGTATTCGTCGTCGCATACGCCTCCGTGTACGTTCGTGTTCATATTTAGCTTTTAAATCGTCATCTTCGTTTCCGTCTCATTCTTCCTTTTAGTCTTGGTCATCGTATTCCTCTTCGTATTCGTTTTCGTATTGTACGTCTTACGCTTTCGTTGCCATATTCGTATTCGCCTTCGTCTTCGTGTTCGTCATCGTCTTTTTATTTGTCTTTACCTTCGTCTCCGTGTTCGTTTTGTCTTCATATACGTCTTCGTTTCCGCCTTCGTGTTCGTCTTCGTGATATCCTTCGTCTGCATGTTCTCCTTCGTGTTCGTCTATGTAACCCTCTTCGTGTTCGTTGTCGTTTACGGCTACGCTGTCGTAATCGTAATCGTCTTTGTCTTTGGATTTACCTTAAGTTTTGTCTTAATCTTAGTATTAGTCCTTAACCTCAATATTGTCACATATTTAGTTTTCATGATATTTATTTGACTATTTTCAGTTCACTACCGCCCCCTAAGGAAAACACCAGAAACTACTTTTGCTTTCGACGCAAAAAATAAAAAGGCAAAAATTAAGTTTTATTTTCTAAGCAAAAAGGGAAATTTTAAAAATAAATTTTATTTACTAGGGAAAACATAAAAAACGAAATAACTTTTATTTTTCAGCAAAATATAAAACTCACGAAGTAACGGTTATTTTCAGAGCAACCAATAAAACTCCAAAAGTAAAACCTAGTAAATAGTCATTAAAAAGTAACAGTAAGAATAATCTCTGAAAAAATTTATTTTCTCCATGTAAAATTTCAAATCCTCGGCGGCACAATTAAATGTTAACAAATTACAAAAAGGTACGGCTTTCATTTTTTTCATTTCTTCATTTTTTTTTTCTATAATTTTCATTTTTTTTTCTATAATTCTGCGGGGTGGCAGCAAGAAAATTCCTAAAATTTGTTATTTTTCGTTTTGAGCCACCCTAATGTACATACGTAGATTATTAAGTATACACTGAAAAACCTTTGAAAACCTCGAAAATCTTGATATTGATATTTTCAAGTTTCCTTAAACATGAATTACTAACTGAAAAGTTCGAAACTCGCCAAATATTTCATCCAAGTTTTGGCCGTTTAGTTGAAGTTTCGAGTTCTTCGAAGTTTTAAATTTTATAATTCTTTATGATCTTTTATACCTTGATTTTTGTCACCCAAATAAAAATTTACAGCTTTCAGTAAACATTCGTCATCTCCAAATTTACATGGCTTCGGATCGTCGGCTGTAAATAATAAAATGAAAGAGTGAGTATTATTTTTTAGTAGTTTATGAGTAGCAGTGTTTCTTTGAAGTGTATATATTTATTTATTTATCTATGATTAAAATTAGTATGGAGGACTAAACGCGCTTATGAAATAGGTATTTATGTAATAATAATAGATTGGCGGTTACACATATGTTAGTGTTTGGCTGAGCTTCTCCTCCGATTTGTGGTGTGCGCCTTGATATTTTCACACAAAGTGGAGAGACCTACAGTTTTACGCCGACTCCGAACGGCGATTGTATTTTTATGAGAAGCAAGAAAAAGAAGTTACGGCAAAAATACACTCGGAGGATTGCCATTGCCTGCCGAGGCGCGACCGCTGCAACTGTTAAGAAAAAACCTTTTTTCAAAATTTTTTTGCGATGTTGCTTTGGCCCGGGCTTGAACCCAGGCGCTGCGGCGTGGAAGTGCGCATTGCTTACCACTACACCACAGCGGCCTCCTATGGTATTTATGTAGTTGTCGATAAAATCGAAATGATTTGTGCATCAGATTGCTGGTTTCCGTGTGGTCCTCCTGACTTTTGCCTATAACCAAAAACATGTCTACACCCAGCGAGCTCGTAGCGACTGGTAAAATCCTATGGCTCTTACCTCTGGCTAAGTGACTGGACTTATGCCAGCTGGTCCCTCGCCTAAATGCTATGTGGAAAAGCATACCCCGAGAGATGCGTCTATTCTAGTGGCTACCGTACGGATACTAGATACTGGTCGACCTCCAACTTCAATAAGGCTTGACATGTGATCGGCGCAGTGATGCCAAGAAGGGGAGATTTCCCCGATTTTTGTGGAAAATGAATTTCACTGGGGTATCGGGAAATATACAAATGATTTTTATTAGAACAATATAACTTGTAATAACTGTGAGGATAGTAAAGAAATTGCAACCGTGCAAAACGACTCTTTTCATTTGACGTTCATATTTGACACTATGATTTTTCACTCCGCCAAGCTGACCTCTGGCAAAGTTTTGAGCAGTCTAATCAGAGTGAGTATTTAGCAATTTACATACACATACATAGACAATTTTTCTGAAATTAATTAAAAACCACTGCAATCAGAAATGGGCTTGGCATAGATACATTGGAAGCAATTTTACTTACAACAAAACTAAAATAAAACCTCTTTTGATCTCCGTGCGACTTGTAGACAATTATAAAGATTTCATCTATGCCCGATATAGGTTAGTACATTCATAGATAGATATGCTTTATGAACTATACTCAGAAGTGTCAGTTTTATATATTATTAAAAAGGCTGTCCTTATTACTTCATTATAATTAATGATATTTGTTGTTGTTTTTTTTTTAGTAAAAATGAGAATGAAGTGCCTTAAATATTAAAAGTTAGCTTGAGCGAATACCATTGGAAATAGGGGAATGTTTTGAGGACATTGGGGGAATTAGCTTTAATAGAGTTAACATCCCTGGATCGAAGTTACGACATTCCAATTTCTGTTTTTTCTGGTTACACTCATTTAAACCCTATGTTCTAATGGTCAAGCTATTTCATTTGATACCTATTGATATCAGTATCAGTCCATGGTATGCCTAGTTCCGATTTCTCTCTGATCGGAATACTTATGTATATTATCGTAATAAATTTGTGAGCCAGCGCAATGGTGACAGTGCAGTCAACCTCGTTTCCAGTAAGCCAGTGCCATTTTATTTCTCCTAGTGTGGCCATATTTTGGTCGCTTTCCATACGTTGCCATTTTTTTATATGAATCCCTACATAGTTTGGGAACTTTTAGTTTCGTTGAACTTCGATTTCCTGGCGGCAATTCAATAGCAAAGTACGTTACTCAATGCCCGAATTTACAATTCAATAACACGGTGCTGCAAAAAAATGGTTCCACATACTTTTCATGTTATATCTAGTAGAGGTGGTAGAACAGAACTTTAAATAGAATTTTAAATACGCCACCAAAATCTTAAGCTATGATTAGAAAACTGAAAATCGGGATTTAGTTCCAAATACCAGTCATAAGTTGGACAATTTTCAACGGAATTTGATAAGGTTATGTTCGTTGAAAAGCGGAACGTTGTGTCCTTACAATGCTTTTGGCAAAATTACGTAAAGTTAATAACCTTTGACTCCATGTGCCAAAGAGCTTGAGAAGAATCAGAAAAAAATCGTTATGGCGAATTTGGGTAAAAATTACACCCTAAACTTGTATTAAACCCATACCGGATGTTTTATCTCAAACAATCTACATAGATTTCCCCTATTTATGTAAATAGAGTTATTAAAATTTTCCAATTTCGTCCAGTAAATGATTGATGTGATTTTAACACAAAGTCTCCATAACTGTTTTTCGGATTCTTCTCAAGCTTTTTGGTTCACGGAGTTAATGATTATAAACTTAACGTAATTTTACCAAAAGCAGTTATTTATATATAGTATATTAGATAAACCGCCATATTGTGCAATGTTAATATCAATGGACAAAAGCACAACACAATCCAAACGGATTTCTGGATATTCAGCCTTATTTATCATGAGTGTTATTTTAAATTTTCCTTTCTATGTATACCGTGCGGGCGGATGGAAAAAATGCCGGCGAATTATTTTGCAGCTGAAACTCAAGGCTGATTTAATTTAAATACAACTTATATATCGTTGGTCCTTCAAAACTAAAAATTCAACACAAGTCCTTACTACTGTTAAGTGCCACATATCCTAAACCTTGTCTAATCCGTATTACTTACGCAATTAGTCCTTAACGCTTACTTAAGTAATTCTTCACTTCAGTAAAGATTCGACATGGATTAGATAAGGATTGGAGACATCATACACTTAGCAGTAGTTAGGATTTTTTTCTTTTGAATTTTGGGTTGTGTCGTTATTGCATGTAACACAAAATACATACATATTCATTTCAAATAAAATTTTTTTTTTATAACTTTTATAACTTTTCACTTAAAATTCCACTCGGTTTGACAACTTACGAAAATCCGCATTGCTAATTCGCCAAACGGAACAAATAAGCAAAGGCAAAAGCGCGTAGCGAATATACATTTTACAGTTTTACTATATGTAGCTTGCTGAATTAGTTTTGCTGTTTTAAAGTTATATATGTATTTTGTCCTGACACTTTCTTGATTTGATTCCGGTATTAGTAAATAGATCAACGCTATCCGCTTTGATATGGATAGGCATTAACGATTAAAATTGAACTAAGGAAATCAATAACATTTCGCTTTGTTTTTATATGAGACAAGCAATTATCTACGCGTTTGTAGCAGTTATATGTACTTACTTACATATGAACATATATACACCCCGTGTCATAATTATAAGCGCAAGTACTACTAAAATACAAGAAGAAATATTGTTTTCATATGAAAAGTTCAACAGGCAACACTGCCTATATTTTTATTGATTGTTTCGTGGAAACTGATTTCCTTATTGCCCAAATTCAACTAAATATGCCAAAAAAATCAACATTAACGGAAATATTTTGATTTAAGACAATAATTTACATATTTCTTTGCAAAGTATCGGAGTTATTCAAAAAGTAGCGTTATACAGCAAGTGCAGCCGTTGCAAGTAAGTTTTGCGTGCTAGGATCTCTGTGCCCGTCCACGTTTGGCTGGTGCAGTCCACTCGGATCTACAGCTGTAGCGATTTATGTGGTCCGTTGCATACTTACAAGCAAGTATACTACCCCAAAAAAGTGAAATTGTAATATTAAAATTTTTTTTTTTCTGGTCCAGGTCAGGATCACTTTGTGTGTCCGTTCACATTCGCTGGTTCAGGTAAAAAACCAAACATAATTAAATTACAATACTGAAGATTTAACTTTTAAATGGAACCAATATAATGATTAACAAGACTGATTGGAGAAAATAGTAGAAAACATTACCAAAAATTTACATTTAAAAAAAACCAAATGTCATTAAATTTAAGACATTGAACATGTAATTTTTAAATACCACAAATATAACTTTTAAAGAATTAATTTATATACATTATATCAGTTGCATCTTTACTATTTGTATATTTCTTTATATAGTCCATTCGAATAAAGGATTTCATTGAATTCAATTAACTTTGTTTACTATATACTGCAATTTTAATGAAACCATGGTTTATTTTGATTATTTGGGAATATTTGTCGATAAGATTTTTCTTTGGCCAGATTTTTATGTGACTAAAATTCTCGCATTCTTCATCTACTTCATTTTTAATATCTATACAGCATGCTTAATATACCATAAAAAAGTTAGTTCACTGTCTATTGTATCAGTGGAATTCAATTTGTATATAAAAACGTATTTCAGCACTGCCAGACTAATTTTCCTACTACCTTTTCTCAAAAGGAGATAAAATTGTTACCCGCTTATCTTTCCTTCTCAAATGCAACCTTACACGGCAGTCGATTGATACAAATGTCAATATTTATCCGTCCTTGCATTAGGTTTGTTCCACAAGCTGCTTGTAGAAAAACTCGAGCGAAGTTCAAACCATGATAAAAACATAACAAGGTAAAACCATTGAGAGGCAGTCTGACGTTTGCCAACAATATAATTTTAAAATCAAAACTCAAACTCACACACACATTCTCATTTTCAATCTCAAACAACAACAATTGTGAACAATTTAATTTTTTTATTTTCAATTTTATATGATTTTAAAATGTTGGCAAACGTCAGAACAAAATCATGGCCGACGAATTGAGAGAATGAATTTACCTTGTAATGTTTTTATCATGGTTCAAACTGTTAGTGTATATTACTCTAAAACTTACTTGTAGAAGGCGTATGTGTAACTCGAAGTGACTACGAGCAGCTTGTGGAACAAACCTATGATTGAATCATGAAAGCAAACCAAAATCTATGTGCGCCAATGGAGACAGAAAGGGGTTTAGAGTGGCGCAGAAAAAGCAAACACCTATGCTGCCCATCTACAAAATGTTTTCAGGCCAAACGCGGCAGATAATGACTTTAACTACAC